TCAGAATCAGGATGGCCTTCAGGATAGCCTGTAATAACATAATTCTATAGCTTGATAATCAAACATTAATTCAAATTTCGTTCGATTTCGTATCAATACTATCCTTAAAATTCGTAATTTTGATTGGGCGGGAGGATCTCGGAAGTGATCTGCAATTTGTGTAACGATGACGGTCGCTCCTGTTTGTGACTGCCGATTTTTTATGACACCACTATGAAGATAACGATAAGGTTTAACGATGAAGATTACATAAATATTCCTGATTTGAATTTGATCTTCCTATAAATGTGGCATAATTCTGAAATTTTCAATTTCGATTTTTAAACTACAACCATGAAAATAACAGATAAAATAAATGCTCATCAATCAACAGATCCTTTCTTTTCTTTCGAATATTTTCCTCCAAAAACAGATGATGTTAGTTGAATATTAATTTTATTATCGATTAAAATTTATTTATAAATATTTTAATAATTTGCTTTTATAGGGTCTATCAAACCTTTTTGACAGACTTAAGCGCATGTCTTTTTTAGACCCTTTGTTCGTTTCTTTCACATGGGGTGCTGGAGGTAGTACATCAGAGAGGACGACAGAAATGTGTACAACAGCTCAAAGCCTTTATGGTTTAGAAACTTGCATGCACTTGACATGTACCAACGTTGTTGATGAGATTGTGGAAGAAGCATTGAAAGTTAGTGCTACTATATATGATACTATATGCGCAAATTTTTTAAATGGCTCTTTATCCGGTCTGTATAATTTTAATAGGAAGCTAAAAACTCGGGTATACAAAATATATTAGCTTTGCGTGGCGGTAAGTATCAATTTTTAGGTGCTTTATATATAATTTGTTCAATGGCTAATTTATCATCTTGTAATTAGATCCGCCACGCGGTCAAGAACATTGGACACCGAATGATGAAAATTTTATACATGCGATTGACTTGGTAAGATGCATCAGAAAAAAATACGGTGACTGGTTTTGCATTGGAGTTGCAGGTAAAAGAAATTTTTATAATGAATTTGAATTAATGTTTGATTATCAAGCTATAGAATTATGTTATTACAGGCTATCCTGAAGGCCATCCTGATTCTGA